AACTTTAAATATTCTGTTTTAGAAGCACAGAATACATCTACCACCTACACAAAAACTTCAAGAAGGTCAAAAAGGCCAGCAATGTCAACTGGAGTGCAAAGAAGGCTTTTAAAAGTAAATGGTATGTTTCAGAAAGGGAAGCTGCATGCTAAGCGAAGAATAGAGGAAAAAAAAAACCCCATAAATTCTGGCAGGTTTTTAACAAAACAATAATATGGCAGATCATGAAAGATTTTGAGGGACTACTTTCTAAATAAATAAAATCTAATAAGGAAGGTTTTAAGAACATACAGAATGCAGCAAGATCCGCAGAGTCTGAAAGAGCAACAGACTCTGAACTGAGAATGTTCAGAAAAATAAAACTGATGAAAGAAGGCAAAAGGAATAGTGTCGACCACAGAGGAGGTCAAAGAAGACCCTAAACCATGCCGAAGACTAATCTCCAACAAAAAATGTCAGGAGAAGAGCTTTTGGAAGATAACTGACACGAGGTCAATTTGTTACTCTCAAAGACCTGATAACACTCACTCAAGACTTCTTCAGGATCTCAGATATAACAACGCTGACAAGCTAGCAGTGAATAACTTGTCACCTAAATAAACTCGGTAGCTAGAGAAAGGAAAGTGGCAAATGTGACTAACTTTAAAAAAGGGCTTCAGGATAGACCATGGAAAATTAGAAACTAGTCAGTCTGACTTCATATCTAGGCAGATTGATAGAAATGTAGTAACAACAGAATTAGTGAATATATGGAAAATATAATGGGAAAAGTTTACACAGGCGCTCTAAAGTCATGCTTTCCAAGCTGTTAAGAGTGCTGAATTTCTAAAAAGAAAGTCCGAACTTTACCACGAAAGGCAAAATAAACCAAAGAAATCAAAGAAATCCTTTCAGTTTCTTTTTAACTTTGGGGCAACAGTTTATGGAGAGGGTGGAGAAGACAGGAATAAAAGAGAAGAAAGTTAAGACTGTAGCCTGAAGATTTCATGTGCGTAAGATCTATATCGTCCACATAACTGATGCACCAAACACCACAGAAAGGGGCCTCACGGGAAGATGAGCAGGATAAATCTCTTACCTGGAGGTTAAGTAGCATGTTAGGGTCAGTCTGGATTGCTGCAAAGGATCAAGTTTATTGCACAGACAGATGGTGACTATGAGCTACAGTACAACCCATTTCCACTTGACTTGAGCTATCATGGCAGACATAGACGAGAAGATGAGACGTGGCAGAGGATGGGAGACGTATTGCAAACGAACGGAGCTGTAAGAATACGAAGAATGATTCTGTTCTTAAACCAGCTGAATGGTGTCTTGGAAAAACAGATTCTATTCCTGTGGTGCTAAGTAAATCACTTAAATTAGTCTTTTATGAGTTTTATGTTTGTTCTAGATGCTTATGAGGGGTATCATAAAAAAGTCAGGAAGGAGATTAATAGTTTTGTCTTTGTAGCAAAGCTTGAATATTGTGGAATAAATAATGCACAGAGATCACACACTGTACAATAAAGAGAAAAAATATCGACTAGTGGCTTATTAAAATGAGCTCTATCTACTCTTTGCACTAAATGAGGCCACACTTTTGGAAAGAATATTATGTAATGATGTAATTAAAACCTGAATCCTGATATATATCCTTAACTAAATTTGCACTGGCAAATTTAATTCTAAAAGTTTACCAGCTTTTAAATACATTATTTCACAATCTTACTTATAATCTCCTAGTAATTTAATTTAGTTTTGCTTTGATTTATTCATATTTAAACACATTTACTGAACCAACATGAATACCAAGTGTTTACATATCATTTTACATTTTAGAGTACATTGCGAATATTAACTAATTAGTCCTTTCCCAATAATAAAGATAAGTAATATTATTTTTCTTATCAAGTTCAAGAAAGGAATTAGGTCATAATTAAGAAGGACACATCCCAAAAGGGATTATTAGCTAGGTGTGATTTCTGGCCTAAATATATTAGCCTGCCTTCCCTGAAAATCATTCAATATTTCATCATCTGAAAATGCCCTGGGCCTCAAGCTTTACAGCCATTAAAGGCAGGGAAAAACTGAAACATGAGGATGGAAATACTTTTGAGAGCATTACATTTTCACCATTTTCAACCAATGTCTTTTACTTAACAGTGTGAATTATTTGATTCTTCCCTTGGAACACCATTCAGCTTTTAATTATAGATGTCAAAAATTTTCCTGTGCAGCAATACAGATCTATTTCTTTATAGAAATGGTCTTGATTAAAACATAACAATTACCTCACAATCCTTCTCCTTCTTTCAGTTCATATTTTTTAGTGGAGAATTCAAAATATCATTGAATTAAAAACTCTTTTTGCTTTATCTTTTGAGATAAGACAACCAATATTTCAGTATAATAGCGCACAGTCACTATCAGCACTGAGCCTGTGATACCATCACATTTACCCCACAGGACACTTTCTGTTCTAGACGCTCAATCAGTTGTACAATCATTCCAGTAATTCCACATGATTCAGCTCCAAGAACCAACCTCTTACCTCCTTTCACCTTAGGCATTTTTAAAACATGCAACACTTTGTATAACATTAATTTGTTTGGATAAAATACCAGAAGGGAATACATTCACTAGTACTGAGTAACAGTCTTTGAAGAAAGGCTGCTGTTTAAAGCAACATTTCAAAAGCATAGATACAAGTGAACCAGTGTCAGCCACCCTGGACATCTTTATATGTCATAATGGTGTATAATGCATATACCATTATGCTAGTCAACCAAACTGGTATGTCCCACGGCAAAGCGCTGTCCTCTGGTTAAATACCCACCTGGGTCATGGAAACAGACTATCAGTGTCATCATGGTGCCACACTGCACGATAGCTAGAAGGTCTGGTGACCTAGGCAGTGGTTTTACTCTGGCCCAGCACCACACTCATGTAGTTATGCTGCTGCCAGTCTCAAAGCTATTTTAATTCTATTTATGTCTTTTACTTGAGTGTGCTCTACTGCTGTTACGGAGACAGGATTCCTACCAGGCTAACAAGGCTTCAGGCTGACACAGTGGCAAGCACTGCAAGTGGTGGCCTCTCATCATTGCTTTTTGTTCCCCAGTTCCAGACTGGACTGCTAAAACACAAAGCCATGCTGCTGCCCTTTCAGAAGCAAAGGTGTAGACTTTTAAAGTGGTTTATGAATTGAAGATGTTAAGTTTCACAGAAAAGCCACAGGATTTCATCCCTTAAGCTCTTCACTTCAGAAAGTTGATTTGTGCTCCTATCATCTCACGCGGACATTATGAAAATTTCCCTGTAAGATTATCAGTATGATATGACATTGCTTACCATACATCTGACCCACTTTCATTTCAGATCATTTTACCTCTTGAGACAGGTAAGGAGAAAAATGAATAAACTTGATTTGGTCTAGTCAGTTTGCATACTCAAGACTGTCTGGCCATCCCAAAATGATCTATAAGATCTCTCATTTCACTTACGTGAGCCGATTAACTGAAATCCAGTATTCATATTTCTTTGTGGCAGAAAATACCTGCCCTTTTAACTTATTTCAAGTTTGCAATACATATGGATATTTAATACTGCACAGCAAAAGCAATATTGATTTCTGTACTGAATTCCATAAAGACAAATTTAAAGGAACTATATAATATTCTCATTTGTCAGTGCCTTGAAGTAACAGAAGATTGGGAAGCAATATTAGCTTGACACATTCTACTTATTCAGTAAGCATACATGAAATGTACAATCTCTAAATCCAGAAATGGTAAGTGTATAGAAAATGAACACAACGAATACAAACAAAATAAATGAACAAAAACACATCACTTTTTAGTTTTAAAACTAAAAGAAAAATAATACTTGACACATTCTACTTATTCAGTAAGCATACATGAAATGTACAATCTCTAAATCCAGAAATGGTAAGTGCATAGAAAATGAACACAACAAATACAAACAAAATAAATGAACAAACACATCACTTTAGTTTTAAAACTAAAAGGAAAATAATATACAAGGAAAAATGAAGTAGCGGTTGTTTGGCACATTAGTTTCAATGTAACGGTTCAATGTAAAATAACTAAATTGTCTGGGTGATTGTTTTTCAAGAATTGAAAGAACATAATTCTACAACAATTGCTGATGCACCTGAAAGATGAACAAAACCAGCCAACGATGGGTGAAAGAAGGCTACAACCCAAATATTACAAAAGAGGTTCCTACATATTAAGCTCTCAATTTGCTATTTCGTGCATGAAACAGGCAAACGTTGGTGATTTTGCTCTTCTTTGTGCAGATTAAAGCACAGCTATATATTTATGTAAAAGCTACAGATACCTTTCTCTCTGGTGGTTTGCTCACAAGGTCACAATGGCCAGCGCGAACTCTCTAGTTACGCTTGTTTTATATGATTGTCATTTGGGGTTTCAAGCATGAGAGAATGGCTTCTTGGTAATCTTGGTCCCCAAATCTGGAGAATCAATCGATCAAGTTAACTTTGCCAAGCATCTTTAGCACTGGCCTAATACATTCAACCTTGTCCTTTTTACTGCTTCCTGTCTGGGGACCCTTGCTAGTCCTGCAGTGGTGCTACGGTGTGCTCATAAAGCATCACACAGAATCATAGAATGGCTTGTGTTGGAAGGGACCTTAAAGATCATCTAGTCCAACTCCCTTGCCATGGGCAGGAACATCTTTCACTAGATTATAAGCAAAAAGATGAACTAGCTGTGATTTTAAAATTATTTTAGTTACATGACTATCTAAATTGACTTTCATCAGATATTTAAACCAATTTCTAAATCTCTTTTACAATCTCTTAATTTCTATCAGATTGTGAGACGGTCAACTATCTAACAAAATACTGCTATTCTCTTAAACAGCTACTGTTTTGTTCATTTTAATGAAGATGTGTCCCATCTTTTACCATAAAACCACCGGTAAAGTAATGCTTTATTGAAACTACTTCCAAGCACAATAAAAAATGTTCTTACTTGTTTAAGTTTCTTCAGATCTTCATCAAGTTCCAAGTTGTCCAAAATAACAGCAACAAACAAGCTGAGTAGAATCTATGAAACAATTGCAAATTATTTGAGCTTGTTTTATTTTTCTTAAGAAGTACTATGAAATGACATGGAAAAATGAGGGCCCTACTGATGCAAATGGGAATCTTGCCCTTTACATCTGTTGAACAAATATCACCTGCTACTATCTGTCTGCTAGCCATTTTGCAAGTAGTAAATTGGTTTTTAGCTTATCATACAATTATATGAACTTAAAAATTTTGAATTCTAGGTTTTATAACCAATGCATTATTTATGTTTAACAATATACCCATCAAAATGTATTTCACATGAAAAGAAAATTAAATTAATCAGAAATAATGAAAAAAAAGAAAGACAAAGCAGAATCCTAAACCAGCTTGTAAACCGAAAGTGCTTTTCAATTAAGGTGCAAATTTTTAGCACAGAAGCCAGCTAACACTAATTTACTTTAAGGGCTTGCTCAATGCTCAGGGTGCCTTTGTGCAAAGTAGCTAACTCCACGTTGAAGGAAAAGTTAGCTGCCTCATTATTTGCATGCATCGGGAGCCACAGTATAGGAAACTTATGCACTTTCATTTACTATACATTAAATATTGTGTAGATATGCCTGTAGGAGGAAGAATCCCAGGGTTTTAGTCTCTGAGGTTCAAGGCAAGTATCCTCAAACATACTGAGCTTCTACAGGCAAGTACCACTTTCCTAGAGATATCAGAAGGAATCTAAGCTCTTTTAAAAGAGTTACAGGTCTAAAATATTTCTGTGGTCTTGGACCACTGATTGACAACCAGAGCAGACCTATGTGCCCACCACTGTTGTAAATGAAGTGTAAGTTTACCTGTTATTCAATCACACTGGAAAATTATTCCCCACCTATATGGAGGATGAAATTTAAGTAGCTTAGTACACCAGACAAGAAGTTTGGAACTCAAACTGCACCTGAGCTGGGTGTCTGGACCTTGTTCCAGAACAGGATTCCTATTCCCTCCATGAATAAAGGTACAGAAGACACAGGAAGGACTCTCACCCATAAATTTCTGAACTGTCAGTGCTCAGAAAGAGAAATGTTCTTTTAACAGGAAACTGGCTTTAGGAATATGTAGAATTTCCTGCAGCTGAAAAGACATATTATATATGCCACATACTTAAACAGCATCTTATACAGTTTTCAATGATCTGACTACTACGAACAGTGGAAGTTAAAGAGGCCTTCAGAACGGCAAAGCAAGACAGAATTCTGATAAAATACACAATCCCTGGCACAAACTACTTCGATCCCTAATTGCTGATGAACAGTTTCGCTATCACTCTATCAGGATTTTACAGTATGGTGATTTTTTTCTTCAGCTACTTCATACAGTCTATGATGCTCCACTGATGCAGCTGAGTACCTGCAGCTCAGAGCATACCAGTTAAGGAAGCAGAGTTCCACAGTAAAAGGAAGTATAGTACTCATTAAACACGTCACCACTTACAGTCTTGCTGCTTCATGCACAGATATTTATCAAGGCATCAAGACTTTCATTAACTCCCTTTCCACTTTTCTTCAACTAGAACCAAAGGCGATGTACCACAAAAGAAAAGTTAAACGCAAACTTGTTATTTGTTTAACTTCCTCCGCTGCCATCTCAACTAATAACAGTCCTCACTTCCAACAGAGGTTTTGTTTTTTGAGCTTCAACTTTTCTTTGCCTTCTAATGTGAAACCTATTCATTTCTTTCCAAGGCTCTACAGTCTGCTTTGCCAAATGCCTGCAATTATCACTTCTCAGTTCTAATCCTCCCCACCTCTTCTGGCTGGTGAAAGTCATTTCTTCATTCAACTTCACTCTTGTTATTCACTGACGGCTGTTTATTCTTAGAACTCTACTTTTTGGTTTCAGGAGTGTAACCATAGGATAGGGGCTGTGAAACAGAAACTATAGAATCAGGTTGAGGTAATTAGTTTATAACCAAGGTAATAGGTAATGAAGCTAACTAACCATGGCAAGTGGCAAGGTGACTGTGGCAAGATACAATGCTGCTATGTTCCTTGTACAGTCCCTACCCAACCGGACAATAGGCCTGGGAATATTAATCTTATAAAGTAAGTTGCTATGGACAGGTGCAGGTGCACCTCTATGGATAGGTGCAGGTGCACCTGCAACAAGGATACTGCGCATGCCTGCATGAAGGAGGTCATCCAGCGGACATGGGTGCAAGACCACTGACAACCACCAGAGACCCCTGAGGACCACCGACTCAAATCACTGAGCATGCGTGACGGGGAGGAGAATATGGAAATGGATTCCAAGAAATGATTATCCTAGGACTGCCTTTTCTGAGAAAAATTATGAATATGTATGTTTTGATCCTACATAACCTGTGTGTTGGTGATCACCTGGCATGCACGTTGGGTGGAGCTATCCCCCGTGCATCCAGCGCTGCAATAAAGAATGCCTGCCTTTTAACACTACATTGGTGTTACGAGGTTTATTCCCGGATTTCGGTGACAGGAGCAGCCCAACCATTTTCGTGCTCCTTTACCAATTCCACATTATTTTCTTTCTTCAAGCTTCTTTTGCCTCCAGACAACTCTGTCCTACATAGCTTTTCTCTTCGAGGGTCTGAGGAAGATCTTAGAACCAAAACTGATCACTTAGTAAGGCCAGGTAATTCTGAGAAGTCATCTTAGCAGAGTTTCTTCATCCATGTGAAATTTGCATAAGTGAATGAGAAGAAATGTGTACACTTATGAAGCAAAGCAAGGACTGTATACTTAAATGCAAATTTCCTGTAAAAGGACTGAGGATGGTGTACAGAAAAGTGACTTCACTCTTAGCAAAATCAGTGCTTTGAGTAAACAAATGGAGAAGTCCTAGATGACTCTTTCAAAACATGAAACATAATTCAGAATACTAACATTGCTCTTACAGCTAAGGTGCTTTTCAATTAAGGTGTGAATTTCTAGCATAGAGGCTACCTGACACTAATTTACTTTATGGACTTGCTTAATGCTCATCTAAGAGATAAAAACAGATTCCAGTTCAGACAATGTTCTTGGCCAAGAATCAGAAGATCAGCAATAAGATTCTCTAACCAGTAACTGCTTTCAAATACACGATCAAACCCCACTTCCTTTTTGCTTTCTATTCCCACTTCCCAAAGAGACTTAAAGATCGCTTCAGCATGGAAAGTTGCTTTTTCACACCCCAAGGACTCCTCTGACCCTTTCGAGCAAATTACATGTCCTATATACCTGCTGATACATACATTTCTTTGGCTTATTCTTTAATTTGGTTAAAGAGCATCAAATGCACTTCACTGCCATTTATAAAGTGGTCAAGATTTCAATCCATATGAAGGAACCCACTCCACCCACAATTACAGTCAGATTATTCAGTCTTTAGAAGTGAAACAGGACAACTGTAAAGTAAAAGAAGTAGATGGAAGCTGATGGAGATTGTATAAATAGTACCTTATGTAAGTAGATAACTGAGCAAAGAAAGAAAATGGAATGAAGAAAGTGAAAATAAGAATAACTGTATCAAAAACTGCAGTGAATGCAAAATACAAAATGAGGAAAAGTGGGAGTCAATTAAGGGTGCATAAAATGGTTATTCCCCTGACTGTGGTATTTTCTCTGTGTTGGTATTCAAAATACAGTACCGAGCCCTTATTGATATAGGATATCCAAAAAGCTGTTTTTCTTACTATTTTCTCTATTAAAAAATGTAATCATCCCATTTGAAATGCATACAGAAAAAATGTTTTTTCAGACATAATCCCCATTTCCATACACATGCAGGAACTGCTATATTAGTTCTTATCCTTTTACTCCTTGATATACTATATCATATATTTTCTATACATTGATTTTGCATCAGGCAATAGGAAAGTAGTAATTTCTATTCAAGAGTTTATATCCCCAGGCTTTACACTTCTCACTTTAATTACTGCTGCAAAGAGAATGCAATGGAAGCTGAGGAGACCGTTTCTACATGATAAATAAAAGCACTTGCTTAACTCTGCAATCATTAGAACTGTGAAGGTACAAGACAGTTAACAATTGTATTGGTAGTCTAGCAGTGTGACTTGGATCTTACAAAGAACACCTCACACCAGAACAAAGGCCTTATGCCACATGGCTGAAGGGTAAATTCTGCCACACCAAAGAACTTATCCTAGAGCCCTCTAAGCTGAAAAGGAGCATCACAATTAGTTTTAACTAGCTGAGAAAAACAAGTAATACAAGAGCTAGAATAATAATTCAAAACAAAGAAAAGCACAGCACGTTTGCAAGTGAAGACTTACCAGAGTAGCAAAAAGATGATATAGTATAAAATAAATAGCAACTACTGGTGCCCACATATGTCCTACAGCATTCAGTGTCTGATCCATTACATCCACCCATCCTTCCTGTGTGAGAATCTGGAACATTGACATGAATGCCTGCAAGAAAAACAATTACATATTATCAATTCACAAATTATATTAATATGGTTTTATTGACACACTCCTCAAGTTGAGCAACCTGTTTTGGTTTGTTTTTTAAATCTTAATAAACAAATGTATTTCAATTTTTAAAGTCAGGTGAAATGATATTCCAGATCTGAAAGAGAAATAAATAGCTTAACTTTTGACTGAACTGTAATCTGCAACTTGTAAACATGGTCCTAGCTCCATTAGCCCATGTGATGAGCTTTGTGGTTTCCTCCAGGTCTGACAAAATAGGAGACATCAGAGATCACTGTTTTGAACGTTATACTGTATTGTCATTTTTTGATTATGCTTATTCTTTTGTGTTACTTTCTAAATATACCTATAATAAAGTGTTATAACTAAATGCGACCATAAATTTATGTTATGTTAATAGCAGAAGCATTCTAGGCACCCCCCAGGTGAGACTAACCCATACAGGGTAAGGTCCAAGAACTTCCACCCGTCTCAGCCAGATTCTTCCCCTATACATTTTGTAAATAACATTCTTTGTGGAACTGTTCCTGTAACACTTTCAAATCCCTTCAAGACCGAGGGCACACGTCAAAAATAGAGGGAATAATGGAAATGTTTCAACCAACTGTCTTTGCTGATAGGACTATATGAATCCAGATAAGCCTAGAACTCAGATGTCTTAGACCTTTTAAAACTCAGCTTGAGCCTACAGCACAGAGCAGAATCTAACTCAACATGAACAACGTGTGAGCGTGATGTGTACATCATACACAGACACTGAAGACCGTGCTCTGACTCAGCCATAGATGGTATCAAACTGAAGTGGGGTTCTTGAGTTTTAAATCTCTCAATGAGGCCAAACTGTTGCACAAGTTTCTTTTGCTTTTCCCTGACACCAAAAATACTCTCTCCAGACAGCAAGGATCAAAGCTGGTATCTTACTGAAGTTTAATACATAACAAAAAATGTGTTAGAAACTGAAGACATTAACAATGCAACTTCCAGATAATAGGATTCCTCGGATTCAGAATGTTGACACAGTGATAAAGATATATTACATTTATGCTCCGTGTGCCTGACATCCCCAGCAACAGCAGCTTAACACAGTAACGCACTTGGCACAAAGAGAACAGGACTCTTCTTGTCACACCCATGAGAAAACAGCAGTACCTGGAGAGCCCTTCACATCAATTTACCCTAAGCCCAAATGCATGCTGGAAAAGCTGAAAACATGTAGATATATAAGTTTATGTCCTTGAAAAACAATAAAATGGGTTCTAATCAATCTTTTAAAGCTACTGGCAAAACTAATTGAGAGGGAGACTTCAAGTTTATATGACTGATATTCACTACAGGCAAGTACTTTGCTTGGGCACCTTATCAAGTTTGCAGAGTTTTTCAAACAAAACAATGTATTCTCTAAGTAGTCTCTCCCAATGCAAACAGGACCCTTAAGGCTACACCCACACCCTTAAGGGAGTCCACTCCAGGCTGTGATTTCTACCCTGCCATACAGGCCAATTTACTCTAGAGCAGACCGTCCACATACATGCATACAGCACTTGGTCCTGCATCTCCTCCTGGCCCTGTGTGATGTCCATATGGCCATAAGATTAATTTAATATTTGGTGACAAGAAGCTGGTTCCAACTATCTGAAATAATAATAAGGATGTGCCTGCTGGCTCTCACAAAAAAGCCCACACCAGAATCCATTCTTTCTTATCGCTGCTCTGCTCTGTGGCACTCTGAAGCAGACAGAAGCAGGAACACACTCTTTGGCTAAGACCAAGGAGCCTGAGAGCTATTTTTGCAGTTGCTTTTCAGAATTAAATCACACTAATCAATTTTTCAGAGATGATTAAGCCTACAAGTCCAAATCACTCACAAGAAGTGAAGCTAAGGTCTACATGGAACAGATCAAGGCATCCAAGTGAGCAATCGCACACATTGGGAGATGAAGTCAAACTTAAGACTTTAATTTCCACGTGAGCAACATCTTCAGCAAACGTAATGTCCCAACCTTTCCTCTGAACACACAGATTCCCACAGAGAACGAAGACTAGCATAAACTAGAAGCAGCAGAGAAAACTGCTTGCAACCACTTTTCTGTAACATTCTTGATGCCAGGTAAAGTCTTTGCTATGTCACGTGTTATGACAGCCCAAATACGGGGCCTGGCATTTGCACAGTGCCCTCTACATTATGTTCCTGCCGATAACTTTGACCTTAACTAGCATGCTGCTGACCTGCGGGCAGACCCTCCCTTCGAATTAGTGCCCCCCCACAACCACACGTGCAGACTCCTTACACTGTGCAAAATTACAAACTCTTATTAGCGATTCCTTTAGCTAATAAATCATGATGAGGGTCCTGCAAAAAACCCAAAACAAAACAAAAAAAAAAAAACCCAACCCTAACAAGTGTTATCTAGCTCTGCAAAATACCTCCCCATGCTAAACATGCAGAGAAGGAAACATTTGGGATCTTTAGCTAGGAGGGGCTTTCTGTAGCCAGAGGAGCATGAGTAAAAGAAGCAGGAAATTCAGCCTCCTTTACAGCTACCAGCAGGGCTTGAGGGTGAAGAAGCCAGCCACCCCATCAGTGCTCAGCACCGCTTCCCAGCTTTCCTTCGTGAGAGGGAGGCGAGGCTAAATCGGGCAGTTGCTGTTTCCCCGCGCTCAGAGCATCTCTGGAGCCAGGGAGGTGGCTGGTCCTACCCGGCCGGTGTGACACTCCATGCTGAAATATCAGGTGGGCACTACCTTAAGTAATACACCCCACTGCTGGCTTTAAAAACATCTGAGGGATTGGATAATTGAACCAGTGCAGTATCCTTTCTTCTGAATTGCACTAAATTACCATAGTTTATTGCTTTTTAAAAAGACATATTTTAATTAATTCTTCAAAGTATAAAGATACCTCCAATACTATGTATTAATGTGGAGCCCTCATTAATACAAGCCCTAGATTAATTTGGAAAAAACATTCTTTTAACATCATAAAAATCTAATCTTCCATCTAAAACAGTTGTCCATAAAACATATGGTTATATATGGTCTTTCAATTTAATGTAACATTTTATTATAACATTAAAGTCCAGTATATGACAAAACATTAGTTTTAAGAAAACAAGGCAGTGCACAATGTATATGTGCTTCGCACCCAGCAATCTCCTTTGGAGCAAGTTATTTTTAGCTGAAAGGTATACTTCCCACTGTTTATTTTAAAATTAATTTGAAATGCAACTAGCTGACAGAATCAACATCTGTGAAGATGAGACTTAGAGATTTATGCAAATGGTGATTTTCTGAATTAATTTGGGTTATAGAAAAGACTGTCAATTTCTTTGAGTATTTATGCCCTATTACTTAATTAGCTGTTTTGATGATGGAAGTCAAACTACCTTTTTATTTATAGTGGAAGATTGGCAAAGGTTTGGTGGAACACATGAGCTGAAGTGTCAGTTCTGGTATCTTGTCCAACTATTACAGGGCTGGTGCCACACAAATTACTACTTACTTACAGTTATCATGTACCTGACTTGTAGCTGCTGCTTGTCCATAAAATATTATGGGCCAAATCCCAATGGCCTTATTCATGGAAGCAGTCCTACAAGCAGTGGGATCACTTCCGCAAATTAAGCTAACAGGATTTAGGCCAGTGGTGTGAAATGCTTGCAATCTGTTCTACCTGTGTAAACTTACCTTCTTCTCCTAACATGGTCATGAGTGCTCAATAACACCCTGAGAGAAGAGTAGCCACCCTGTAAAAATGTGGCAGTGGCACTGAGATTGTAACTGCATCAGAGAATTACGACTACATTGTTCAACTTTTTTAATGGATGATGCTTACGTTGACCTAACATTTCACAACTTGAGCTTTCTCCAAGCTCAAGGCTAGGAGCAAAGTCCTGGTTTTGCTGAAGACTGGGGCATTTTGCTGCTGAGATCAGTCGGGCCTGGCTTTTGTCTTGCATTGACCCATTTTAAAGAGTAGCATTACCAGCTCTGCAACTTGTGACACTGACTAGTCAGCACATGGCCCCAAACCCCAAGAGAAACCAGAAACATGGAAGTCAGAGCCACTAACAACATGCTTTGTTTTCATACAGTGATTTTTAACATTTCTTAGCGGCCATCTTACATGGATGCCTTTACACAGACACCCTCCCACCCCCAATTCCTTCTCTGGGGGGCCCAGCCACCCCCCATCTTTCTCATGGCTCAGTATGTGCAGCCCAAGAAGATGTGCAAAAATAGAGATGGTGGATCGGTTGAAAACAGCATGACAAACATCTATGTTTTTATAGTTAGCATTAGAGAGAAAGCCAGTCCATTTGGGAACTTGCAATGGCCAAAAGAAGGGTGAAATTTGTCGCCATGGCAACACTGAGCTTGTGCCTATTGACTGTTGTCAGGAAACCATGTGAAAACATGCAATTTTAGAGGCATTAGCGAAAGGAGGAGGTCTACTTGTTCCAAAACCCATACTGTGCTTTCTTATAAAGCACTTCTGGTTTCAAAATGATTTTAGGTTTTGTCAGTTTCAGCGCAGAAGGCACTTTAATGTACAAGCTCAAAATTTAAGCCTCTAGTGTCACCATTTTCGTTAGTGTGCTTGCCCTCTCTCTATTTAGAACAGAAAGAGTCCACAGCCACAGTCCTGGCAATTTTAGGGTTGCTCTTGAGGGCAAGCCCCTAAAAATTTATTGTAGCAAATTCTGCTGATGCAGACCTCACACCATCTCCTACATTATATAGTAATGCAAATATATCTTCAGTCGCATTTTGAAAATAATATAATCCAGACGAACCCAAATTGCACATTTTGTAATTGTCTTATTGTAAAGTGATGAAGTGCTCTTTACTCAGAGCAGATCATCGGGAATCCCCCAGCCTTTGCTAGGAAGACACGCTCCTTTGGGGGGACACCATCACTCACACCATTAATCACGATTTTTGAGTACAAAATTTTCACTGACTCTATTACCCTATTAAGAGATGTTTCATTAGAAAATTACAAAAAGAAACCACAGGCTACAAAGTATACTTCTGAACCATTCATTATGAGGTGAATATGTATACAAATAAACAGTAACTAAAAAATAAGGAGAGTAACTAAAAAATAGGGAGAGACTCTTGCTTCTGGCTATCATATAAGAAGTATTGAGAAGATTTCAACTCTGTATTGCTGGAATACTCCTTTGTTATTGGTAGTTGGTCTTCTGTTTTTCTAAAACTTAAGTCAGAAAATAGAACACAAGTTCAGAGATTCTCTGTAAAAAACTGTATAATTTACTAGAGTAAATGTTTTCTCAGTCTTCAAACATTTATTTTAGTATATACATGTATCTGTTAAAATTCACTATGATGGCTCTTACTGAGGCCTAAATGGCCTCAGATTGAAATGTAAAAAATAATTTAAACATTGAATAACATCTTAATATATTTTGGCAATGTTTTCCTGCAAGAGTATCTTTCTCAGGTACTTATACCAACTTATCTAGTTAAAATGTACAGATGGTTGTAAATCTGTCTTGTCCTAGTTCTACTACAATAACTCTTTCAGGAATGTCATTGCCATTTTGCACAAATAATAAAAATAATTCTAAACCCTAATTCCATGATGATTTCAAACTTGCAGTTGGAAGGTTTTTTTCAGAAGTTATACATGGGAGTTGGGCATACAGTAAGGTAGTACTATCACTCAATTTAGAGACAGAGGCCTGATTTAATTGGAAAAGCTTAAGTTTTATTATATTCTTTTTGCTTTCTTCAGCATTTAAAAAATGAATTATACTGAATTCTTAATGATCCTACTGGCTGCTTTTCTAAGCACGTTTTCCAAAAGAGAAAGCACAGTATTACATTATTCCCTGTGGGTAGGTATATTTTGTCTTACATTTGACGGCCAGTTTCTCATACATCAAGTCCAGGTTGCTAATTACAAATTGTTGCCTAGCCATTTTGTTTGCTAAATGCATGACCCTTGAGGCTGCCTTATTCATTGTTATTTAATTGTACCAACCAATGCACTTTCACTAAAATAGATACATTGGACAACCAAACCGGAATGACAGAAACAAATAAATTGTCACTGGAACCAATCCATGTATACTCAGTCTAATCCATTATTAAAGAAATAGCAGTATTTTAATTCAGAGCAGTGTGCTTCAATAAATACATTAGCTCCAATTTCCACTGATTTTCAATGTTCTGTTCTGAATTAACGCAACACCCATAAATATCCATTATTTATACCCAAAAGGCAAACACTTATTTTATCAATACAGACAGGTTTTATAGCCCTGTGTAAAACAAGCATTCCTGTACTAATCAAGAACAACCACTTTTACAATATGAAAATATACATTATGTGTAGACATGTTTTATATAAATTTTGTACCTATTATTCATGATTGTGCATGAATCCTCTTTCTGTAACATGCAAGAGTACTGTTAAGCTGTATCCTTTGCCATGTCATCATCAGGGTGCACACGTAAACTTTCTCTGTATTCCCTCAACAGCAGAAATAGAATACTTAACCCAAAGAAAGACAAACTTCACTACTGAAGGACTACAGGAAGACTGTTACACCCAGAAAATACAATTCTTTTATCCACACATATGAAGATAAACTGTTCCATGGTTATCAGAAGGAAAGGAAGACCACTAATATAATAACAAATAGGATATATCAACGATAAGAAAATAATAAGCAGCAAGTAATCAATACATTTTATACTTGCCCGTGGGAAGGTTGTAAATCTATCCAGTTCTTCCACAAAGCAAAACATCTGTAAACTGATTGCTGACATCACGATTAAAAGGCTTGCAGTAAATACCACCAAACTCCCAAGTTTTTTTCCTGGTCCAAATATCTTATACACAAAGTCCTCTAAAGCAGGAGAAATTTTTATAAGCCGAACTACTCTAAGAACCTGCAAAGAAAGAGAAAATACAACTGTATTAATTATTTGATTATCATATTAATCACAATTTTTCACAGGAGCAGACCCTTCAAGGCCAAAAAGGGACTTGCAGCCTTGTAGCCCAGTAAATATCAGGCTGCCACTGCTTGTAACAGACCACAAGTTGTGTGTTAGGTTAAGAACACAAGCCCTGGAACCTGTGTGTACTTTGCTTTGCCTGTACTTATCCTGGCCTGCCTGGAGATTTGTTTCAGCTATTAAAAGCAGTTACCTAATGACCAGGTAACTGTTAACCTATTTTGTCTTTTGCTTAGCTTTTGATGATTGTGTGGTGTAATGCTTATTGTCACATCTCTTTTTTTCTAACATGTAGTAATAACAAGCTGTAATTTTGCATAGAATGAGCTGTCTATGACCCTTTCATAACATGCAGCATCGAGTCGTACAGGCATGGGATGACAGCGGAGGTCTTGAGAGTACAGGCATGGGACGATACTGAAGGTCCCCAAGGCTGTATTCAACTCACCTATCACCAACAGTCATCACAGAAATGCAGTTGGGTAAAGCTGGTTTTGGGGTAACAAAGGGAACAAAGACATAGGCAAAACACACCACAGGAGGTAAGTAAATCTGAATGTAATGTGGAATTACAGACCAATGAAGGTTTATAGTGTGTTACTACACATAAGAATGGCTTCAGGCAAAGGTCAAAATATATCAGTCTAAATTTAGCAACTAAGAATCCATTGCAGTGTTAGGTAAATTGCTCCAGTTTGATTATCACTACTGTTAAAAGTTCATACTTATTCTAAATGGACAGGGTCTTGAACAGTCTTTGAAGAAAGCTCTGCTTTGAGCAGCAGGCTAGATGAGATGACTTTGAGAGGCCACTTCCAACCTAGATTTTTCTATTATCCTATGTTTTTTTTGTTACACCAGATTACATATTTGCATAAAGAACTGCTAACTCTTCTTCCACAAGTCATCTTTCCGTTTCAGTGACCCAAGACAAAACTTCTTGGCATTGTGTACTGTATAACCTAGGAAGTTTGGTAATGAACGTATTTTGCTATTTCATACTATACACAATGATGGAAATTTTGGGTGGCACTTCTCAATATCAGAGGTAACGGCATTGCGTGCCTCTGACATACTCGACATAACTGACACTTCTCAGTATCGTAGTGGCAGCAGAACTGTGATTGTGTGTGGAGCTCCTGACTTATTCACTGCTGCCTCTACCTTGGAAAAGCTGCTGACAGCTCTGATCCTCCTATTTCTGCCACTCATGGTGGCACAAACAGTGACATAACATCAGTATCAACAAGAGGCAGTGGCAGCCACAGCAGTTGCTGGAGACAACCGACAGGAGCATATGAGGCAAGTGAGATCCTGCAGTTCTTAGCGAAGAAAAAGTGTCTCTAGCCCAAGGTATTGCTAATATTTCCACAAGAATCATATTGAAACTGAAAGGTAGGAATTACAGTGCAATTATAGACTGACCGGATGTACAAGTCAAATACAATTACTGTGCTGCTTTTGGAGAGAAAATAAGTTTGACAGAAGGATATGGTATTGTTTACAGAAAGGCTTCACTGTACCTTGTAGCTTGCTAATAATGTACACCTTTGCATTTTGCATTAAATTCATCTCCCTAGCTATCCATCAGGTACGCAGAATATGCTAGTCATCTAGGCTGTACTGTCAAAGGAGGGAGAAAGAGAAAGTCAACTCAAGAGAGCAACTTGTTCCAAACACACACCAGACCCCTTGTGCGAGATGGGATGAGCCTTCACTGTCTTCAGTAGTTTAAAAGGGTCCTAGATGTAGAGGTTACACTGGGCAGCTTAACTTTCACAACATTAGAACAAGGTGAGATGATAAGGTTCGTTCTTTCACATTGGTACCATGAGCACATTACATATAATCTGAGTACATGAAACTGGTTACCAAGACACTGACAGACAGTGAGAGGAGCGAGATTTCCATGCACTATGAACATATAAACATGGTGTCTTCTTACTTACAAATCTCCTTGCAGTGTAAATGCTAGCTCTGGTCCCCTTAATACTAGTTTTGACACTGAGTCCAGTAGGGTGAAGATTTCATGCTAGTTGGTATTCTGAGTTGTGTTTTAGATAAACTGTATTATCTGCCTTACTTTTTTTCCCCTTCCTTTGGGAAACTTTCATTGACCTTTAAGCAACACACTAATCTTATTGATACTATTTGGGTTTTTTTCATTTATTTTCATTAGGTGACAAATTGAATCTAGCAAAAGTACACTAATGAACATTTATGCATTCTGTGTAATTAGATCGCAAATTGTATTAAATTTAAGAGCTGTAGAAGGTGCACTACTTGGATTAAATATAAACATATGTTGAAAAACAAATCAAAATGAAAAATACAAAACAGAAACCACAGCTTTGTTACAAAGAATAGCTGCATCCCCTAAAAGGGACAATATTTATTCAGAAAATGACTCAGCAATATTTTCCCCAAGCACAAATACAATACCATCTCTTCAGTCCAGTAGAGGTCAAATTCTGTTCAAATCTCTCCCTTTTTTTCTGTTTCATTACAGATCTCTGCAATAATATGCAAATTCTGTCATTTCTCCACTGATTTTGTGTTCTATAGATTATAGCCATGGAATGGTGCTTTGCCGTAGTCCTTCACAGAAGGTTTTGCAAAGTGTTTTGAATGAACGTACAACGAATGCAAGAAAGATAGTTGGGAAGGTGGATGGTAGCCAGCGTGGCTAAGAGTGAATGATGTGTTGGCAAAAGGTAATGATGAAGACCAATGACTAATGCAGACTGAAATATATGCTAAGGAAAACTAGATAAGCCAAATGATATTTCTCCTTGCTATCCTGGAATGTGTCAAATAAGACTTCTGTTTTCAGTAATCTCTTTTGTTGGCTAAGAAGGAACACATTTAACCTGTCATCATTAATACCTAAAGGCCTGGAAATCTGCCTAACGTCAAGATGTTAAAAAAAAAAGACTTTTTGACCTTGGTTGATTTGAAAATGTGTTATCTAGCTTGCCCAGAAGCTTAATTGCAGGGGAATACAGTGCGTACCTCCCTTACACACTGACATCAAAAGTATTTTCCAACCTTGCTGTCATTTGCCTCTTATGGGATTTGGATTGCAAAATACAACACAAATCTTTCAGTGTAGCAGGTGTTTCTGCTTGTAAAATGTACGTATATCTCATACATTTTGGAAAAAAAAAATCACATCCTGACATTTTCTGTCATAAAAGCTAGCACTTTTTTTTTTAAAAAACCCAAACCACCACCACCCCCACCCCACAAAGCTAATTAAATCCATTAAAAAGACTTATTATTTTATTATCAACATCTGGCTACGTTTTAATTATACTTTCAATCGTATGACTCAGTGATGATGCTACACATTTAGTCCAACACATTCATAATTTATACTTAACATTCCTAGAAAGATATCACCAGATGTAAGTGGACCCTGCCGTAATAAATATGGACCAACTATTAACTAAGTTGCTAACTGTTTTAACTTAGAGCTCCCAGCTAGGTTTCCTGTGTGCTTTTGGCACAAGAGTGCAACGACACTCCTGATTGATACAGCATCCTTTCTTGCAGGTTAGAAATATCATGCCACATTGAATAACAATATTTTACATATTTGGACAGCAAAATCAAAGCTATAATCATCTAAAGGCCTTCAAATGATACCAGGTGAAAGCACAATAGAATTTGTCATCCTGAAAGGTTTCTTGAGCAAGTTTGTAGAGCCATTTAGAAAAAATACAGGATGGCATTTGCAGAAGTCTGAAAAGGCCATCATATTTCAACCCACACTTGGGGAGACTGCTCCCCCCATACTGTAGTCACTTGATTACATGATGTGTCACTGTAACTAATCACATTTATTGACAGGACTCTGACAATATATTATTTGCCTTTATTAATTATTAATTATTTACCATGCCAATCCATTGCTGAATAATGGACAGATATGAATCCTTTAATATATTTTTTTTTTTAAAAATCCCTTTCTTTAGCACTGTAGAACATAACACACTACAGTGAATCTCAGTGCTTTCTGTGATAACTGGAACAACTCTAAGCACTTCAAAGAGGATGAATGGGGTAGCTGACAGAGGAAGAATCAGAAGTCTGAATTAATAATCAGTCTTTCTTTGTCTCTCCTTCCTGCTCTTCCCAAAAGTAAAAATGTGTGAAGAGCCTCAATAAACACACTTTCCCTCCAGATAAGGAATGGCTGGAGAGCTATAAAAACAAACACTATGATGATTCTGGAGAAGTGACCTCAGAAGACCCCCAATAACTGGAGCAGAGACTCTTAAGCACGTAACTGCCACAAAGATGAAGATTTGAAGAACCACCAGCACGTGTACTGAGGCCTCAGGCACGGAAGCGAGGAAAGCAGTGGTGGACACTACAGGAAGGTGATGCTGTAAACAGGTCAAGGCTGAACGGAGGACAGTGAATAAACTAATCCAGAACCTACTGAACAGCATAGTTCAGATAAGAAATGGGAGATACTGGAAACAGAAAGGACTTCTCAGCAAAGTTAGAAAGAAGCCTATTTCTGTAAATCAATCCAATAAACATCATTAAGAACAGACATATTTGTTAATTTAAAAATATTCTCAAAATTAGTCGATAATATATCAGTAGTCTGAGAATGGAAGTAAATGAGAGCAAAATGTTGATGGGTAATGTTTTTAATTGGTATATAGAGTAAAATGTAAAAGTAGTTGATCATACCTGAAAATATGTAAACTGAGAGTGATAAAGGTCTGGGTAAATATGAAGAGTGGTTCCAATTACAAGCAGCAACTCAAACTTGTGAAGAGATGAGCTGATATATCCTGTGAAACCCAAACACCAGATCTTCAGGAGAGCTTCTAAATCAAACAGAACTGTAAAAGCAACCTAGACAAATATATAAAACAAGAAAGAGGTGTTCAAAACACTCAGTTAAATTAACAAGCTTTAGACATCTTTTTTTTTTAGACATCATGTCATGATGTCTATCAAGGTTTTGTATAGCAAAAATAAAGATCTCCATAATATTTACAAAACCCACTAATAGTCTAAATAGAATAAGCAATAAATAATACATTTCCTCGTATTGGCTCATATTCTTCCTTAGAAATGTACACTTCATGAAATTTTCTGAAGTTTCAATGTAGACATGTAGATTCCACAATTTGGAAGGCATGAAATAATAAATCCAGCCAGTTGACCTTTTGTTTTGTGTATACAGATGAAAAGGAGAAAAACTGATGAGAATTTTTTTCAAAATGTGAAGCAACACATATGAGCTCTCTGAAGAATTTTAAGAGATATAAGGAACAAAGCAAAAAATAAAGATCTCTTGTTTGAAAATTGCTACTTCAATTTTCTAAAATGTCCATAGTACAACAGCTGAAATAGGTAAAAAGGGGGTGATGGGCCTTAAGCATTAAAATAAATTAAAAAAAAAGAGGAAATTCAAACCCAGTCCAGAACTGGTAAACTTTCACCATTTTAAAAAGAGATGGTGTTAAAGAAGTTGGGCAAAGAGAGTAAAGTGGGAAGTTACAGGCGAAGAAATCTACTTGCAGGCACTGGATGACCGTGGGATTCTTCCAGAGGCCTCTCCTAAAATATTTACACACTAAAATGCAAAATGTTCAGCTTGAAAAAAGGGAGACAATTTTGCATAGGTTTACATCTTCAAAATTTATTTTCTCTTTCTTCTCTCACTACCAAAAATCCTTCCTCACCTGTCTTCTTAATTTACCACTGTACATACTCTGAGATACGCTTTCCCTCACTTTCCAGCAGCCAGGAAACCCAACGGAAAAGATGTTTTTCCTTGACTCAGCAATTTTCCCCTCTGATTTTTTACATACTTTGGGGCTTAAAAGAGACACTGAAATAACATTAGGTGGCATCTATATACAACTACTATTTTCAAAATGCTGTGCAAACATTAACAAAATACAGGTCAAACCTCCTTTGAGCAAAAGCATTATCAGCCTTTTAACATGGAGAGATTTACTGACTGTGGGCCGTAAGGTTTACTGGACTTGGCAGGGGATAACAAAGCTAGAGAATAAGATTTTAATCCTGAATCTGACAATCTCTGGGATGCTGCCTTAAGTACTTAGATTATTTAAAATTTAAACTCTCCAGTCCTTCAAAAATATATTTATCAACATGAAAGAGGGGTTTTGTGTGATAGCTAAATAAAATTTCACATACTTCATGTGTACAGGACTGTCACAAGCAGGAGTGGAGATGGAAATTGAATACTGAAGCTTATGTCCTATGTTAATTCCACTAGTCCACACAGCTGTTTACGAGCAGTGCCACCAGCTACATTATAGGGCTTCCTCAAGGTATGCAAAATAGTTATGAGGCTTTAAATGTCCTCTGAATGACTAAATCAAGGTGAAATGCTTCAGAGCACTCAAAAAATTTCCTTACATTAGGGAAAAAATATTACTAAGAAATATTTGTGTGACTTCAGGCATACAAGGAACCATGTAC